CTCCTGGGAGGGGGGTCAGCTGGGCGGGGGGGTCGTGGGGGACGTGGGTTTGGGGGTATTTTGGGGTTGAGACAACACAACAAAAAATGGCCGCAAAAATACAGATATACAAGAAAGCAGAGAGATAGCGGAGGGGAGGTGGACACCAACAAAGCTGAGCCAGTCTCTTCCCTTAGCTGCTAAATGGAAAGCGCTCCGACTTTATCCCAACACCAAGGCTGCTCCTGAGGTCCAGGATGCAACCCCGGGGGCACCAGCTGTCCATGAAGCTACCACGGGTTTACGGCTTATCACCCCGACCTTGCTGTGGGCAGCGTGTCCCCCCAAAGACGGAGAAGAAGAGAAAAGCAAAGGAGAACTGGTGAGCTAAACGCGTAGTAGGTAAAACCTGCCTATTATCTGGGGACAGTGATCCTTCCGATGACGCCATGTGATAGGGGGATGGTGAGAACCTGTTATCGGGTCGGAACTCTTTATCATACGCCATCATGTTCCACTCCAGGCGCCGGTTGCGGGCTTTCCTCACTTTCTTCACCTCCCGGGTGGAGTCCTCCACCAGCCGCTGCTCCTGGGGGCACACACAAGCTGCAGCTCCATCTCCAGCCTGGCTCCTCTGGACTGTGAGCGGTACCCAGGGAGCATCGAGATGCACCCGCCACAGCAGGGGGGAGCACACGGGATGCACCAGGAAGGCGACCATCCCCCAGATCCTGGGCAGCCCCAGCTCCAGCCCCCCTGGTGTCCCCCGCCTGCCCGTTACCTTCTGCCTGCGCTTCTCCTTTCTCTTATCTTCTGTCGCCTGCAACATTTTCTCCTTCCATAAGTTGAAGAAGTAGGAGGGGTCGGTGTAGAACTTGAGGCCGTCCTTTTTGTCGTCCCTGGGGGGTTGAGGAGGGAGGAGAGGGGGTTATCAGCCACAGGAGAAGACCCCCCTTCCCCTGAGCAGGGGGGTTTGGTACGATCACGGTCATAAGCTGTTACCCCACCATGAACATGTCCAACACAGTGGTCACTACTTGCGGTACCACTGCGTGGGGTCACTCGTCCCAAGCGCCCTATGCAGTAGGGATGGTGGCACAGCAACCGGAGAAAACAGCCTCTCAGCCCTCGCCAAGCAGCAAACGGGGTGCACCCCCCGATGCCTCTCCTGGAAAGGGCCCCCCAGGACCCCTTCGGTCCCCCCAAGGAGCGATGCACCAGCCACCCTACCTGTAGGGCGTGAGGATGTTGAGCGGCGGGGGCTTGTCGCAGCGCTGGTACATCTCCATCACCGGGTTGGGGATGGAGTTGCGAGACACGACCTGCTGGTTCTGCACCGTGGAGCTCTTGAAGGCTTTCCGCATGTTGATGTCCTGCAGCGAAACTGGGAACACGGGAAGGAGAGGGGATGCAGGCGTGGCCTCAGCCCCCCAAACCAGGCACGGTGGGTGGTCCAACCCCGAGCACGCATGTCCCACCCGCTGGCACCCGGCCGTCACCCCGAAATAGCCCCAGCCCCTCACCTTCCTCCACGGTGGAGTCCAGCTGCGTCACCTTGATGACCAGCAGGTCCACCCTCTCCTGCAGCGAGTTCATCCGCATGTAGAAACTGTTGGCTTCGTTGAACAGCTCGCCGAAGATGTCCTCCGCGTGCCTGCCTGGCAGGGGGCAACAGGCGCCTGTCACGGGCAGCGGTGGCAGGCAGGCAGCCCTCTCCCAGCCCTGGACCCCTGGACCGCATACCTCCCTGCTGGCTCCACGGGGCTCTCTCCCCAGCCTTGGTTTTTTTTGGGAGCTGAGCTTCATCCTCTCCCAGACCTGGCAAAGCGCTGGACGGAGGGAGGGGAGCACAAGCCACCTGCCCTTCTCCGCGCACGGGCATCCTTTCCAGCAAGAGCGGTACCCGCGGGAGGCACCAAACCATGGCGGTGCTCATCCTAAAAAGCCTTTGGATCTACCAGGGCAGATGCAGCCAAAAAACTGCCATCACCCCTGGCCATGCAGCATCACCCGCAGAAACCCAGCCCTGAAGGTGGAAAACGGAGAACAGGGCAGCGGGGAGAGCGCTACAGTGGGGAGAAGCCGCGAATTTTTTCACTTTAGCAGTTATTTTCCTGCAGCGCTCAGCGCATCGCTACGATAGCTCTTTATTAGGGCTATTATTATCACAGGTCTGAGCAGGGCGCCTGGCAGGGCATTGCTGACACCTGCAGGCTACAGCACCCATCCCGTCCCAGCACCCAGCCCAGCCTAGCACCCAGCCCAGCGCCCCAGCTCCTCGGGGTTTCCTCCAAAACCACGTATCAAACGGCTCCCGAGACCAAGGCGCTTTTGATATCTGCTTGGCCTGTCTCCCGACTCGGCCGTTTGTATTTGATTTCCTTTTCCCCTGGACGAGGTAGCCATGGCCTGAGCACCCATGGGTGCTGTTCATGCGAGCCGCCGCACTTCCAGCAGCTCCCTAAATACAGGGTTTATTTTTCTGGGAGTATTTTAGAGAAGAATCTAGTTCTGGAGGGGGGGAAAGAGGGGGAGCTCTGAAGAGCCTGCGCTTCTCTCTCTATTTTAAGTCGATATTCAGCAGTGAAATAGGTTGCCCCTATTAAACCTTCACACTGGCGTGTGCAATGCTCTCGTCCTCCCCTTTTCTGCTGAAATCAGTCCCAGGTCAGGAGGACAGCCAAGGATTTAGACCTTTTATACAGACCTCTCTTTCACATAAAGCTCTAAGATTAAAAAGAATAGGTTGGGGTTTTTTAATCTTCGCCTGACCTTCCTATTTCTGGCCAAGTCGAGAAGCAAGGGGCTCGCGAAAGCTTTCCGCCCCCCGCCGCACAGACCAGCTATGGGAAGAAAACGGGTCTTAAAAATGTCACCAAGTCCCCACTTTGGGCTTGGCCCTGAGCACCCTCCTTTTTTTTTATTAGCTGGATAATTCCCACTGAATTAGGGGTGGCTGCAGCCCGCACGGCTCTCGCACAGCCCCCGTTTCTCTGCGATTGGAACCAGAGCAAGCGACCGTGGCGTCCCACCAGCATCCCACCGGCATCCCACCGGCATCCCACTGTCCCCTCCCCGTCCCATGCCGGGGTCGCTGAGCCTGACTTACTGAGGCTGCCCAGCTGCTTGATGATGGCAGCCAGCGTGCTGTTGGTGACACACTCCAGCTCACTCGTCACCCCCTCGGGAAGAGCCCCCCGGCACAGGTGCCGGGGCTCGATATTCCTCTTCACCAGCGGCATGCTGCCGGCAAGGCCTCAGGCCTCTCCTGGGCAAAGGAGAAAGAAAGAATAAAAAGAAAATACGCAGCTTTTGCTATTTGCCTATTTTTTCCCCCATTCCCTCTGCTCTCTGCACAGGGGACTCATCCTTTCCACACTGGGATAGGGAGGCTGTGGCCCACGTGGCGGCCGCAGGGCTTTTCCAAGCAGGGGATGCTCCGTGGGTGCAAACCTCCAGATGCTGGTGAGCACACGGGCATGGCACCAGGACAGAGGTGAGGACCACCTCGCCGGGCCCTGTCCTCACCCTTGTGCTCCGCTGACAAGCCACCGCGCCCGGGGAGCCTTTCCCACTTACCTGCCCGGAGCTGCGCTCAAACCAGGAGCAAACCCCCACGTGCCGCAGCCCTTCAGCCGGCCCCGAAAAGCCTCACCCCACCCAAACAGCGGCCAGAAGCGAGCAAGCGCTTGTAATGCCATTATTTCCAGCTCAGTGCAAAGCTCTCCGGGGTTTTATTTGTGCACGCGCTACACCGAGGCAAGCTGCCGCGACCAGCTCGCCCCTGCTCTCCGCAGCATCCCTGCGTGGCCCCTGCTCCGCCGCCATCCCCCCCTGAACCGTGGGGCTCAGGGAGGGGATGTAGAGTAGGAGGTGGCGCTGGGGGCAGGTTACCCACCCCGCCTCCAGCGAGAGCACCCGTGCCGTG